GTCATCGCCTTCCCCTACCACCGCGCGGGCCGGCTGGTCAACGTCAAGTACCGCACGCTGGACAAGCGCTTCTGGCAGGTGCGCGGGGCGGAGAAGGTGCTGTACGGCCTGGACCAGCTGGTCTTCGACGGCCCGGCCGGCGGCGACGTGGTCATCGTGGAGGGCGAGATGGACAAGCTGGCCATGGAGAGCGCGGGCCTGGGCAATGTGGTGTCGGTGCCGGACGGCGCGCCGGCGCGCGTGCGCGATGGGGACCTGCCCCCGGCCAAGGACGACACCAAGTTCTCCTACCTCTGGAACTGCAAGCAGTATCTGGACCAGGTCTGTCATGTGTCGTTTTATGTGGGGGGCGGGGGAGGGGGTTTGAGGGGGAGGGGGGTTGGGGGGGGAGGGGGGGGTGGAACTGCCACTGGGTGCTTGAGTCAGGACAGCCCGTGCTCTGACCACCTCAACCCTCATCTTCTGCCCACAAAAAATTCCAACCCTGCCCCACAGGCCCAGCGCGTGATCGTGGCGACCGACAACGACGCGCCCGGCGAGGCGCTGGCCGAGGAGCTGGCGCGGCGGCTGGGGCGCGAGCGATGCTGGCGCGTGCGCTGGCCAGTGGCGCGCGAGGACCACGAGCTGGCGGCGCGCGGCGCGGGGCTGGACGCCCTGCCCGCGGCACCGGACGGGGGGGCCGGGGAGGGGAGCGCGGCGGACGGCGACGCCGCGCCGGGCGGCGCCTGGTACCGCAAGGACGCCAACGAGGTGCTGATGCGCGACGGCGCCGCCATGCTGCGCGCCATGGTGGAGGGCGCGGAGCCGCTGCCCATCCGCGGCCTGCTGCGCTTCCACGAGTACTACGACGACATCCTGCGGCACTACTACCTGGACCCGCGCACGGGACAGGCGGCGTCCACGGGCTGGCCCGCCCTGGACGCCTTTTACAAAGTGGGCGGCGCGCTGTCCTGTGATGGCGAATCGGGGTGGATCTGTGTCCTGAGCCTGGTCTGCGCCTCTGAAGCCCTCTCTGCAGACTCCAGCATCTTCAGCAAGCCCTCCTTCCCCCCCCACATGCACAGGTCATCCCGGGGGAGCTGACCATCGTCACGGGGGTGCCCAACTCTGGGAAGTCAGAGTGGATAGACGCCCTGCTCTGCAACCTGGCCTTTGTTCATGGCTGGACCTTTGCCATGTGCTCCATGGAGAAAAAGGTGGGTGGGTGTTGGTGGGTGGGTGGGTGGGGGTTAGCAGTGGGGGAGGAAAGGTGGCTGAGGGGGGCACTCTGGACAGGCATGGCGGGGGGGGGGCCCACGCCCGAAGTCATGCAGGCGAATCTTGTGGTGAAGTGCGCAGAGGGCCACGCCCAGGTGTCCAGCATCCCGCTCTCACCATCTCTTTGGCCTCGAACCCTCGGTCTCACCCGCTCACCCCGCACCGCGCTCCACGCAGGCCATGGACCACGCGCGGCAGCTGGTGGAGAAGTACACCGGCCGCCCCTTCTTCGACCTGCCCTACGCCCGCAACTCGACGCGCATGTCCCTGGAGGAGCTGAACGAGGGGCTGGACTGGGTGGACGATCGCTTCCACCTCGTGCGGTGCGCGCCTGTGCCCGACAGGGGATGGGACTGGGGCTGAGAAGGGAGACAGGGATGCTATGCCCTGCACCCCTGGTCACGAGGCGGGCGTCCCATGGTCGGGAGCAAAGCTGCAAACTTGGGGTGCCTGGTGTACCACCAGAACCTGCTGCTGCGTGCGCCTGGTCGAGCTTGGCCTTGGCTCCACAGGTGTGAGCACTCCATGTCCCTCCATGCCAATCACTGATCCACAATCGCCTCACAGGTATGAGGACGACGCCCTCCCCAGCGTGGACTGGGTGCTGGATGTGGCCAAGGCCGCCGTGTACAGGTGGGCCAGAGGGGTGGGGCAGGAGTGACGCACTGGACCGCGCTTGGCGAGCTCAGGTTGAGGCTGCCTGGTCGGCATCCGCGCACTGGAGCCCAGGTCCCACTTTGATGCGGCGGAGCGAGTGCTGCCAGGAAGCCCCCCCCCCTCTGCGCCACCCCCCCTGCCAGGTACGGCATCCGCGGCCTGGTAATCGACCCGTACAATGAGCTCGACCACCAGCGCCCCGGAAACATGAGCGAGACGGAGTACGTCAGCCAGATGCTGACCAAGATCAAGAGATTCGCGCAGGTGTGTGGAGGAAAGAGGTGCCTGTTCGGTGTTGGTGGAGGCCATGTGCCTGTGTCCAGTCACCCCAGCGCGCACGGCCCATCAGCAGCGGTGCCTGCCCACCTTGCCTTCCCCTGGACAGGCTTGCTTTCTCCACGCCCCCTTGCATGCTCCGTGCTCCTCCCCTTACCCATGGGCACAGACACTCCACCCCCCCGTGTCCTCTTCCCCAACCTGGCCAGGTGTCGGGCGTGCACGTCTGGTTCGTGGCCCACCCCCGCCAGCTGCAGCAGTGGCGGGGGGAGGCCCCCAACCTGTACGACATCTCCGGCTCCGCGCACTTCATCAACAAGGCTGACAACGGCATCGTGGTGCACCGGAACCGGGAGCCGGGGGCGGAGAACGCCGCCGAGGTGCAGATCCTGGTCAGGAAAGTGAGGAACAAGGTGGCGGGGACGCTGGGAGAGGCGGTGCTGGAGTACGACCGGGTGAACGGGCGGTACATCGACCCGGGGGCGGTGGGCGCCTCGGCACCCCAGACCTCGGCGCGCGTGGGCAGGACGGGGGCGGCGGCCCCGGCCTGAGGTTCCCAGGGGCCATGGGGGCCGACACCTGGGGGGGAGCAGGGACTAGGCATGCCCTTCCTCTGTGCGTATGTATTCCCGCCTGCAAATCGGATGGTGTGAGGTGTGGAGCTGTGCACGGCAAGATATCTGTAATGGCATCCCCAGGGGATCCGCAGTGCACAGGCGGCATCTTGGAATGCGCAGCGCGCTAGGGGGACTCGAGGGGGCGAGACCTCCCCCCCCTGCAGAGAGGGTTCCGCGCGAGGAGCCACATGGGCGTGTGGCGTTCGGAAATCGCCATCCTTCTCCCCATCCACGCGCATGCCCGCGGTTACTGAGCGGAGTCCTGCGACTTGCTGAGAATCGCCTCGCCCAAGGGCTGTGCCGCGGGTCGAGTGCGGAAGCTGCCGGCACATTTGCAGGCCTGCGAACGCTCGCGTAGGAGGTGCAGGTCAGCAGGAGGACCTGTTTCGGGTCCTGGTCACCTTTGGCACGGAGTGACATGCAAGGCGCCGAGGGTCTGGGTGGGCACTCGCTGGCCCTGGGCCGTGAGGCACGCTAGCTCGAGTCCCGATCCGCGGCATCTGGCTGCACCCTGCGGCCGATCGCCATGGCCGGTCTCCAAAAACTTTCCGGAGTGGTAGTGGAAGCATGGAACGGCACACGGCGGTCCATCAATGCCTCGGCCAAGGGCATCGCCACGTCCACCGAGACTGCCGTCTCCAAGATGGGGGACGGTCTGGACAGCGTGAACAAGCGACTGGACAAGATGTCCATGCGCCTGAACAACTGGGCGGACGGCAATAGGGTGGGTGCCCGACGACATGGGGAGTGTGGGGAAAATGGGTGTTCTGCACAGGGCAGACCCGGCGGTGTGGCGGGGCATCAAGCCTGGCAGAGGTAGGGGATCTGTTGATGGTGCCCAACCATACATGAAATGTCCTGAATACTTTGTAGCCTGACCCAGGGCTGATTGCTTCCTCGTGCAGATTGGGCGGTACTTTCGCTTCAGGGAGCGCAATGCAAAGTTTACGGTGGAGCTCCGGGCCGGGACCATCACCTTCCTCATGGTGGGTAGGGGATTCGAGGGCGCTGCAGGCTGTTGCAACCATTTCCTGGGAGGAGCTTGTGATTGGGGATGAATGGAGATCCTGGGCGCCAGATTTGCGACCAGGCGGGGTGCTTGTCCGTGTCACAATGGATCCCACACCCTGGATCCAGCGCGGGCAGGCTCTGTCGCCCTCTTCTGCCTCCAGCGTATTGAATGCCTCCACAAAGTCACCGGGGTGGATTTCCACTTGGCGCCCATGCCCCTGTCCCAGACTTACCCCACAATCCCAAAGCATTGCCACCTGTCCCGATCAGCTCCCCATGCATACCCGCCCCCCCCCCCCAAAAGAAACTCCCCTTGGCCTCACCCACTCCCCTCATGCTACCCCTCTGCTCCTCCAGGTGGCGTACATCCTGGCGGTGAACCCCAACATCCTGCAGGCCACGGGCGGCACTTGCTCCCCTGCGGAGAACTGCAACCAGGCCAACAGCGAGCTGATGGGCGCGGCATGCCTGTCCAACGTCACCGACCCGCTGGCGGTGGATTGCTTGGCCAACCTGCAGCGCAACCTGATCACCGCCACCGCCGCCTCCTCCCTCATCTCCACCTTTGTGATCGGCGCGCTTGCCAACCTGCCCCTGGCCCTGGCCCCCGGCCTGGGCGTGAACGCGTACGTGGCCTACCAGGTGATTGGCGTGTACGGCCGCGGCGAGCTGACCTACCAGCAGACCATGGCCACCATCTTTGTGGAGTCCTGGATCTTCATCCTGCTGTCCATCACCGGCGTGCGCGGCGGCATCATCAAGTTCATGCCCAAGACCGTGGCCCTGGCCTCCTCCGTCGGCATCGGCCTGCTGCTGGCCTTCACCGGCCTGCGCAACCTGGACGTGGTGGTGTTCGACTCCTCCACCCTGGTCCAGCTGGGCGGCTGCACCGACCGCTCCCAGACCTACGTGTACAGCTTCGACGCGCCGCTGACCCCCGCCACGGGGGCCAACGCCACGGCCATCGTGCTGGCCACCGCTGACGTCTTCGGCTGCTCCGGCGGCCAGATGCGGTCCGCCACCATGTGGCTGGGCATCGCCGGCGGCTTCATCTCCGCCCTCTGCCTCTACGTCGGCGTCAAGGGCGCGCTCATCATCGGCATCGCCTTCGTCACCGTCATCTCCTGGATCCCGGGGCACGCCGCAACCTACCTGGGCGCCACCTCCGCCATCCCCGGGGGCGAGGCCCGCCTCCAGGTGTTCCGCAAGATCGTGGCCGCGCCCACCCTGGACGCCACGGGCCTGGCCTGGAGCTGGGACGCGTTTGACACCAGCGAGCTCTGGGTCGTGCTCATCACCCTGCTCTACATCGACCTGCTGGACTGCACGGGCACCCTGCTCTCCATGGCCCACGTCCTGGACTCCGTGCTCCCCGGCTTCCTGGACGATGCGGGGGAGTTCCCGGGCCAGATGTGGGCGTTCCTGGCCGACGGCATCGGCATCCTCATCGGCAGCATGATGGGCACCACCCCGCTCACCGTCTTCATCGAGTCGGCGGCGGGGATCGAGGACGGCGGGCGCACGGGGCTCACCGCCATCACCGTCTCCATGTACTTCTTCATCGCCCTCTTCTTCTCCCCCGTCCTGGCCAGCATCCCGCCCTACGCCACAGGCGCCGCCCTCGTCCTGGTCGGCGCCATCCTCATCGGCCACGTCAACCGCATCGAGTGGGACAACATCGGGGAGGCCATCCCCGCCCTCCTCACCATCATCCTCATGCCCATGACCTACTCCGTGGCATGTGAGGCGGAAGGGCGGAGTGGGGCCTGGGTTGCGGTCCTGGTGGGGGTGTGGGTTGAGGGGTATGTGCCGGGTCGAGGGAGGGGGGAGGGGTGAGGATTGAAGGTAGTGCCATGTGGGCCACAAGTCCAGGGAGGAGGTCGTGTGGGGAATGAAGCGTGGGGAGGCAGAGGGATGCGTGGCCGCTCGACTGCAAGGTGCCGCGTGCTCGGAGCGATGCGGTGCTCAATGACATCCGTCGCCGGCCAGGAACTACTTCCCCGCATGCGTGTAGCGTGTTCACACACGTCACCGCACCGATGCCCACCCCACAAACTGCCCCCGCTGCCGCCGCAGACGGTGTGATCGCGGGGCTGTCCAGCTACATTGCCATCCACGCCCCCTTCTGGCTGTGGGACATGATCATGCGCCGGCTGCGCCCGCCCGACGAAGACGCGGGGGGGTCCTCGCGCATGTGAGTTGGGTGTGGGTGGGGCCCAAGGAACCCCGGGTGCTGGAGGGAGGCGGGGAGGGGCGTCGGGAGACCAGGCGAGGAACCTTTAGGCAACCATGCCTGGCGCGATGCCCCAGGCCCTCACAGTGCACTTTTGAGAGCTGTCTCTCCTCACCTTGTATCACATTCCCACCTTCCCTCGCGCCCCCCCCCACACACACAAACAGGCGCCACAGCAACCTGTACATCCGGCGCAAGGCGCTGCAGGGCTCTTCCTTTGGCGGCAACGGCTTCGGCGCGCCCTCCGAAGATGAGTCGTACGTTACCACCAACAGCCAGCGCAGCGGGCTGCCGCACTCCATCTCCCTGGGCATGCGCAGTGTGCAGGGCCTGGGCTCCCCCCAGACCTCGGTGTTCGAGGCGGGGGAGGAGGCGGCGGCGGCGCTGGCCAACCGCGGGCGCGGCCGCTCCTTCACCAACTTCCGCATGTCCTTCGACCCCAGCCCCCACCGAGCGCCCTCGCCCCTGCCCCTCGCCGCCTCGCGCCAGAACTCCTTCATCGCCGGCGTGCTGCCCCCGGGCATCAGCGAGACCGAGCTGGCGGGCCTGTCCGGGCCGGGCGGGCGGTCCATCAGGAAGGTGGTGCCGCGCCCGCTGGCACAGCAGCGCACCTCTGTCGGCACGGGGGTGGAGCTGGCGCCGCGGAGCGGCGTGCTGCGCTCCAGCAAGAGCATGGGCCCGGGCGTTGGGCAGGCCCCCGCTGCCGGAGGCTTCAGCCTCTTCCCAGGTGTGTGTGGGGGGGTTGGGTGGGTGGAAGGTTCTGGACTTTGGGTTGGGGCTGCGACTGGCTTGGGCATGAGGGCAGTCCCATGTCCCTGACTGTCTTTGGATCGAGGAGGCTGTGCGGTCACGTAGTACTGTGAAGCAGCACGCTGCCGCGTCTGGTCCAAGGTCAAGGCACCCGGCTTGTCCATGATTGCAAGGGATGAGGATGGAGGTCGCTAGGCCTGCCTGGCAGCCAAGAGCAGGGAGCCTGTGGGCTCAGGTAGCTGTCTGGACCTGGCGCGACCCACCCCTCCTCCCTCACACCGCCTCGCCGCAGAGGTCAGCAGCGTGTCGGCGGACGCGGAGGTGCCCGGCAAGGCTGCCGGCGGCTTCAAGCTGTTTGGCGACGTGGAGGCGCCGGCCCCGCCCAGCCGCCCGCCCTCGCCGCCGCGCCCCTTCCAGCTCTTTGGTGACATCCAGCCCCTGGGTGAGGCGAGCGACGATGCAGAGGCCGCGGAGGAGGGTGCCAAGGGGGGCAGCGACGGGACCTCGACCTCGCGCTCCGAGGACGGCAGCGCAGGGGGGGAGACCAGGGACACCGTGGCCAGCTTCAAGGCCTTTGACCTGGGACCGCAGCCCATGATGGACCGCGAAGGTGTGTGTTGGCACAGGGGGAATAGGGGGCTGGTGTGTGCTGCGAGGGGCCCCGGGCCCACCAACAACGCGGCCCGAGGATGCCTGGGGTGGGTGTGTTTTATGGTGCGGGTGTGGAGGGACATGTCTGCCGTGCCAGTCCGCGGCATGTGACGTGGCACGGCATCACCCCTGGACCGGGGCCCACTCAGACATACGCACCCCCCCCCCCCCCCCCCCAAAAAAAAAAAA